CAATCTAAAAGACTCCAACCTGTGGTTCGTACATCCAAGGGTAGTCCACACGCCTGTCTCCCTCTGTTTTCTTGAAGGTATAAGCCGAGTAAACCGGGATCCGTTTGTGAGGATCGTACAGTGTCACATATCGAGGTTTGTCTGCGTAGCGTTGGCAGATCTTCTTTAGCCTGATGTCGACAATCCCACGTGGCGGCGTCCCCATGTAGAGCGAGTCCTTGCATCTCTCCACATGATTGAAGTCTTGCACAACAGTTGCTAATGAAAGGTAAGGTAGGGCCGTAAGAGCAAGAACCAAAGAAGTTAACATCCTCATGTTTGTGCCTGTCTCCTCAATGACTCGTTCCTTTGCCCTTGTGCAAAATGAGACACTTGCCGTTATAATTTAAATATCACACAGCTGATATGCAAAGTTGGACGTGTGCTTCCAGAGAGTAAGCCTTGAGTTAATGTAGGCGTTAAGGGCATGTCACTGCCCTTAACATGAACTCAACTGTTGAAAACTTTGAAGAAAAACCTGTAGTTTGCAACAAACTGACTTTTTGGGTTGTATTAGGTAGCTTCTTCATCTTTGAGTTGAATATTACCTTCTAACCAAGACACCAGTTTTATATGATTAATGTCATGAAATTTATGGCATTAAAATGCGTTGCTCAGAATATTTTTTATGCCCATCCACTGGGATTTGAAACAAGACTCAAGTTCTTCAGTTCTACTCGGTTGATGATTGTAGGGGGTGATATCTAACTCTAGTGGTAAAGGTGAAAATGTAGGGTACATCCTGGATTGGTCACCACAGTGACACAAGACAAACAACTACGCATGCACATATCCAAGGATAATTTAATTAGGCCATTTACCCTAACGTGCATGCTTTTGCACTCTGGGACAAAGTCCCCACACTGGGAAAACATGCAAACTCCATGCAGAACAGCCCCATCTGGGATTAAAACCTTGGACCTGCTTGCTGCAAGGCAACAGTCCTGTGCTGTGTCACTGTGCAGCCCAGTGTTTCTTGCGTAATTGTAAAATGCAAACCTGACTAATCTGATATAGTTGTGAACAAAAGGCCCAAAGTTCCCAGCGCGACTCAAGATACTCTGCGTCTTGGTTTGAATGGTGGATAAGCCACTTGGTAAAGGGAGATAACACATGAAAGTTTGAATACCAAGTGGCAAAGACTGTGAGCAAGTACAAGGGAGGACTAGTAGTCCTTACACATTGCCAGGTCCAGCATCTAATAGTTCAACTCAAAAAACAATAAACTATTTATGATCATAGATAATAAGCTTTTGGAGACTTTTCTTCGACTGGGAATAAAAAATGTCCAGTAGCAGAAGAAACATGATATCAAAGCAAAACTCTTAACGTTCACCTCAAATGGCAGCTCACCTCTAAATGCGTCTTCCTGTATCCACCGCGTTTTGAAGTCTTTCACAACAACCTCCATATTGCAAATTTTAACAATCCGTGCTCATTAGCCTTGTCTTTGCGTGCAAAATACTGTTTATCGGCTTTATGTTCCAAAGTGACCCGAACCAGACATTATTTTTCACACTTACTCTGAAGGGCTAGAAGTTATTGGTAACAATGGTGAAATATTTATATATAACCACAACTGTATTTGAGTTTAGCTGATAAAAGTTGCGGAGGAACATTTGTCTTGATTGGTTTGACATGTTAAGCACACAAAAAGCAATGCAGTTCCAATGACTTGGAGTGTCTGCTGCTGCTGCCGGGTTGCCCTCTGCTAAAGTCTACTTTATGCAAATGTAAACTGTCAGATTAGCCCCGGCTACAATCCTTCACTGCCCTAATAAGTCAATTTGAGTGACTGAGTGTTGTTAGGAGCAGCTTGCCTCTCTGATCTAATCTTGAGTTATGACAATCATAACTTATGCGACCGGGGCTGATGATGCAGTTATGTGGACAGACATTTTTCAACTGTCAGCATTTTTACCAATTAGAATTATAAATTCGGACCAAGTATAGATCCGGCTCGGCTGCCCACTGCTGCTCCCCGGTGCCGGGAGGAAGACGGGTTGTGATGCAGCGACTCGGACTGCTGCTATCGCTCAGTTCTTCATTAGCAAAAGGCAACAGCTGGTAGGTCTTAGTTGCCTCCATGTAGCAATTTTCAGTGTGAACGATGGAAACAAGAGTCGATAATACAATTTTCAAATAGATGATGAAATCACTTTAGCGATGATGTATCATGTAAACTTGATGATGCGTCAAGTTTAAAGCCTCATCTGCTTTGAATGTGATCAGTGAGCAATCTAGTAGAGAAGCTGCTCCGACACAAGGTCTGTCCATGACTATAGGCATGCAAGTCAGTTTGTTTTAGATTATTTGTGTACCGGGGTGCTTTACAAACCAAAAAGGTAAACCTAAATGATAAGATGTTGAAACAGATCATATCAGCAAAGCATTAATGCAGAAGCTTGAACTGTGCCAAGCTGCAGAATAGTTTAAGTAATAAAAGAAATGCTTAACTAATTCTGGGAGTAAATATTTCTTATTATATCGCATTTTGTTACTCTGTACCACAGGTTTGAAAAACGTTTTCTTAAAAAGTGGCACAGAAGTAATTATCAACTAGTTTGTCATGTAAAGACAGAAAACAAAGAAAGAAACTGTTGTCCAATGGAACTGCATCATTTGTTGAAAGAGCTTAAAAGTAATTCCCAAACCCAAGTTCTGATGTGTGAGATAAATTCAGAAATTGCTGTCAGCATTTCTTCCTTGAACCTGGAGTTCTAAACTTTTCTTCACATTTGACAAATTTGAAACGAAGCTAAAATCACACTACTTGAACTATATTCTTCCTTTTAGCTGTTTGTGTCTTCGTTATCGTTCATTTCGGTGTGTGCCATCAAACACACACCAAACCACGGCTTGAGGACCATGGTGTTCAACATGTGCAACATTTCAATCATGTTCAGATAACGAGCTCCATCAATATGCAGTACCTAAGTATGTCCACATAGAGGCAGTATATACTTTTAGCTGAACTAGATACTACTTCAAACTCATTGGTCACCCCCTTCCAAATAGCAAGGTTGATTCCTAATTTATCATCGTTCTTGAATAAATAAAATACATACAAATATTATTATTAATGTGATGAATAAAAAGATGAATCAAGAGCTTTACATCTGCCCCTAAATAATAATTATTGGCAAAAGTTTTTCTTTCTTAATACATGTATTTAGCTCGAGTAGACTATTTAGCAGTTTGGCACAATTCCTTTTTAATTTAGGGCCAAAAAGTGCATATTATTTTTAATTGTTCTTACTTTATTGCGATTTTGTTTCATATTTTATCAAATGCCACATTTTTTTCAGCATTAAAAATATAAAATTATAAAAGCAACTAGCACATAATTGTTAAATGTAAACGTACTGTCCGTTTAAATCAGGAAACTTTCTAATCAGAAACTTTTCCAATCATTCATTGTATTTGAGAGCCGTTTCAGTGCCACTCACAATATGGCAGACAGTTATTTGGGGCAGTGAAGGCAACAAGGTTTTGCATTTCTTTGTTTAAATACACATTGAAAGGAGTTTGTTCTGATTAGACTTTCTTGCTTTTTTCAACTTTTCCTACTTCAGGTTGAAACAATGTATAAGATGCTGATTTTTCTCAGCACCTTAAATAATTTATCAATTGAAATCAAATTTGTCTTCTTTTTTTTTTTCAGCTTTCGTGATATTTGTTGCAGTATGAAAGTGGAGTTCAGCGGAGTGTCTTTTACTTAAACTCTGACTGCAAGAGTTGCCTGGAACAAATTTTGCAGATCCCAGAAAGTCGAAATAGTTGGACTAGTGTTTCTGTTGAAAACTACCGCGTGAGGGTCATTGCAGGCCTCGTCTGAGCCGCCAGGGGGGGTGATTTAGCAGCCTGCCTGACATATGGAGCTGTAGGAGCCTGCTCATTGGTCTGAATACCCACATGGGTTGAAGGCTAACCAATGAGAGTTCAGACTGATCCGGGTGCTGTTGCTATGGTACTTCAGAGGTAAAAATAAATAAATAAAATAAAACAAAAAAAAAACTAAAACAAAAAAGAAAAGAAAATATAATAATAATATAATAAAAATAAATCTAAGCTAACATAAAAAATAAAAATTGATCACCGGTTTGCTTCTATCATTTCACCAGCTCGTCTTCAGGTCTCCATCTTTCTCGACCTCTCGCTGTGATTCCAGGGCCCCCCAACTGAGAGCTCTACCTGCTTTTTATTGGCCAGTGAAGGGTGAAATGAGCAGAAGAGCGAGTGCTGGCTGGTCTCATATTGTGAGCTACAAAGACTTTAGACCCTCCCTCACGAAGGGAGAACCGAGGCCCCTCCTCCGCTGGTTGTCCTGTCACTTGACATTTGAGCTGGCAGCCCCTCTTGTCACCATTTTTACTCTGCTACACACACACACACACACATTTCACAAAGTTTGCATCATTTGGAATAAAATGCATGATGTAAGTTTTTCTCCTTGAATTTAGTCGTTAGAGGAGAATTTTAAAACACAATTGCTGCAAAAAAAGGGGAAAAGTCTCAGTTTTCAACACACACTCAAAAAAAAAGAGAGAGAAAACAACAGCGTATATTTCAAATCCAAGATAAATGTAAAGATAAAGCGCATTTAAAAATATCTCCTCTACTGTACTGGCTGGGTTCCAGCTCCCTCACATCCACATTCATACTGTACACAGACGCACGTAGGCACACAGGAAGAGAATTAAAGATCCCCCCAACCACCACCACCTCTTCCTCCTCTCTCTACCTCCCTCTTTATTGCTCTCTGTCTGCTCCTCTCCCCTCCTCCTGTGATAGATGAGAGGGGCCCCCGGCCTCCTGACTGGCTCCGGCCCCTCTGACTGGCAGCTCCTGGGCCCGCCCCGCCATCCCTCTGTGCACGTGGATCAGTCTGTGCTGCTATGAGAGCCCCAGCATCAGAGAGTAGAGTGGAAACAGGAAGAGGAGGCGAGGGGGGAAAGAGAGACAGAGAGGAGAGGATCGGGTGAGACAAGGTGGCGAGGAGTGAAAGAAAGGGAGGAAAAAGGGGAGAGAAGGGCTGCCTGGACCAAAGACCCTGAAGGAAAAAAAAAAAAAAAAAAACCTACAGAAAAAAAAAAACCCAAGAGAGGTAAATGAGGAATGCAGAGGAGGAACTTGATGTGCTTATTTTATGGTGGTGAATGGAAATCTACTGCATGCATTGTGTGTTGGAGTAGAAGCGTGTGTGTGTGTGTGTGTGTGTGTCTGCCTCTGTGTGTTTTTCCTATTGTTTCCATCTCAGTTCTCGGATCGTTCGGTGTGTTTTAATGTTGTGCTCTGTCAATGATTTGTCTCTCGATGACTGTACTGCAGTGTACGTCTGCAGGCTGCTGCACATTCATGCATGAAGCTTACACACACACACACACACACAGATACACACACGCGCTCACGTGCAGACCCACACTGAGAGGAGGAATGTGAAATGATGAATGTAGTGAAGGAAAACTGTTGCGGTTACACTTGTGGTTCGATTTTTTTTTTTTTTTTTTTTTTCAAACCGGAACATCGAGCTGTTGAATGCGAGTTTGTGTTTGTGTGCAAACTGGAGTAGGAAGAGCAAGGATTAGATCCTAATTTAGAATAACGAGGACAGTGTCTCATGTTGCACGGGTCTCCCAACAACGTTCGTCAAAACGGATTTTGCTGCTTCCAGCAGAAATGTCACATTTAGATGGTTGCCATGCTCACCCAGGAGGTCAAAGGTAAGGCGGCTGTCGCCAGGATCATCCTGTTTCATATATATTTATGCCTTCAGTTGATTACCGGCTTTGATAACCACCTGGACAGCCATTTCTAGGTTACCAATCACCACGCAGACCAGCTGTGCATCTCTCTCTCTCACACACACACACACACACTCTCTCTCTCTCACGTGCACGCACAGTCTTTCGTCACACCTGCCAGCATGCTTTACAGTCTTTGTTCCCCCCAAAAAGCTGGACATTTTGTATTCTTTGCAACAACAACACAACACACACACACACACACACACACACACACACACACTCTTGCAACAAACCCCTCTCTGGTGTTTCTGACCTTGCCTTGGTACATTCCAGCACCCCCTCGGAGGGGCTGAGCTTTATGTTAACTGGAATAGGGAGAAGAGGGGGGCGAATAGAAACGGAGGTCTGCAATGCAATGCAAGCAAGCAGGGATGTTATTTTTAGAAGGAAAGAAAAAACTAAGCGATTGATATTCGGCTCGTACTGTACGTTCGCTATGTGAGCATTTGAGCCCGGCTCATGTCTGCGTCTGATTGGGAACTGTGCATGTAGTCGGCGAGGCTATAGGGGAGGTGGCGCTGCTGGTGTTGGTGGGGGATCCAGTCGGCGTCCAGTCTGTCTGTATACCTTGTTGCTTCCGCTCGGTCTGATCTCTGCCTGTCCTCTCCTTGCGTTGGCTAAGAAACCACCAGAGGCAACTATGGTGTGTTTGTGTGTGTGTGTGTATGTGGCAGACCTTCCTTCCCTTTTATGGTATAGGAGCATGATCCACTGCATAAAACACGCATGCACACGCTGCAAAAGATGCACATCTGCAGTGGCTTTGCTGCAGCTAGCTTAGATTATGCATGATTGTGGTGTTTCTAATGTCAATCTGCTTAGAAATGAAAACTTAGCTCTCCACATTCTTTGAATATTGCTGCTCACCCATCAGTCGTCGCCTGAGGCAGACTACAGGCATCAAAGCTTTACTCTGGGGGTTTTTAAAAGTTATGATTTCATAAACACAAAGATTCCCCATTGTATTTATTGTAAAGATCACAAAGAAACCTTTAGAGTGCCCTCCGTTTTCTCCAACTTCATGAAGAGTAGGTTGCTTCCCCTCCCCCCACGTGTCGTTGGATGCTGTTGGTCAGCTGGCTTCCATAAGAGTCCAGCACTTTTGATTGCTTGCAAGGAAACATTAGAGAAACTTGGCTCTTTCAGTAATAATGCTGTGCCCGTTAATAGCAAGCACTTCTAATTCAGTTGAAGTAGGTCACGGAGATAAATTCCAATTGACATTTAAATTCCAGCCTAGATATAATGCACTGCATTTAAATTCAGTTCTTGATGTCAGCTGAGGAAGAACTAAGTCTCTGTATGAGGGTGTCCAGCTGATTGCGTTGAGTTGTTGACTTTGCAGCAATCCGCCTTTCTGAACTTGCTTCCAAACGCAGGCGTTGTTGGGAAACTGAAGACGCTTAAAAACTAAAACATAACCCTTAAAAACTACAGCTCTGAAACTAATAGGTATGTGTTTGCTGGAGTGTTTGTGTTTATGTATTATAAAAATAAGTAAGCTTGATTGATACTGGTATTGCAACAAGAGATGCAGAAATCAGTCGACCAGACATCAGAATCGACCAATTTTTCCTTGACCAGCTCTAATTGCTAATTCTATTAAATGGGTGCTTCTTAGCATTTTTTTTACATCCTGCATGCGGTATATTACAGTACAATACAGTGCAAATCAAAATACCTGCCGATGGCTGTAAACTGAGGAATCAGATTTTTCCGTCCGTCAATGGATCAGTGTAATGTTGCTGATTCGAGTCTACTCAAAGAACGTGCGACGCATTTCTTCTCCTCTGTGTGGTAGAGTCCTTGTACTGATGTCACGCTGTCGTCCGTCAGCCTTTCATTTGAGTTGGAAGACATGATGCCCACGTCACATCACCTGCCTCAGAATTGAACCCTGCAGCTTACACAAGCAAGTCGAAAAATCCTTCACTGCTGATGGGATCAATCCAAGAGTCAATGCGACTCCAGCAGCGACCCGTAAAGTGACTTCATTTCATGCTATCTTATCCAGATAGTTTACTCACCTCCAGGCACTGGATGCTTGAAAATGAAAGTGAAACTTACTGCCTCCCTGACTTACTGTCTGATAAACTTGGCTAGTCAGTACCTGGCCGCTTGTCCCCAGGTGATCCGGAAATATGTAAAAGTGAAATGCTTAAGAGAGCAGCAATGAACCGGGTCACGGTGAAGCAGAATAGTGTGAATTTCCACACCACTGATCTCTGCGTACATGCCCTGTTCAGAACTTGTTGATCCATGCAGTCCTATTAATTTCCTTCATTTGCCGCTGTGTGACCCATGTTCATATAGATTGGTTTTTAATTCTGACACACATGGCAAGATAGGGAACAGTGTGACAGCAGCTTAGGAAGAAAAGGGAAATATGAGTCAGCAGGTCAGACCCCAAAGAAAATCCAAATTGGTAGTGATGAGGGAAAACTTGATCGGCGCATCTGTTATTGTGGCTACTTGAACTAACAGATTATTCTAGAAGCATTCTGCAGACAATTGGGGGTTTTCTATTTAAAATAAAGCAATTGGATGATATTGCATACCTTTGTCTGTGTTTTCAAGGGAATACTCTGAAACTGTGCTATGCTTATGCAAAGCACTTTCATATTAGCCTGTGTCTTATAAGTCCATTAAAAAAGAAAAAAGCTGAAGCTGAAGTTTAAAAACCCCCACAGACGGTCTCCTGCCCCCACCGCCGACACAACCTCTCCTTTCTGTGTCAAAAATCGCACACAAACGCAAACACTCCCCTCCTCGCTGGAGGCCTTCCTCCCAGCTCTGGACTAAATGATATCATCGGTTGCCAGGGATACAGGGGCACAGCGTGCCGAGAGAAGGGAGGGTGGAGACACAGGCAGAGCTGCTCGCGTTGCCAGAAAGAGAAAGCAGGAGACTGGGGGTATTAGGTATCAAGATAAAAAAGAGGGAGCCTTGTTGACAAAAGTGTCAAAGCAGAAATGCGGTGCCATGAAGAGGAAAAGCAGGTAGTAAAAAAATAAAATAATTGCCTGGATGCCCTCCAAAGGTTGCTTTTTTTTTCCGTTTGTTTCTTTCTTTTTTTGCCCTGCAGGGTCACATTTGTTAAAGTGTACATGTTGTTGGGATGACTTAGATAGGAATAAAACAGGAAGGGAGTTACAGGTGTACCCAAGGGACTCCCTTTGATTTGAAACAATAAAACCTTCCTATAATGTACATCTGTGCACCAACTGTCTATGGCATTTCCTACAGCTTCTTACTATTTGTGTTTGTGTGCTTTTCTTTCTCTCTCTCTCTCTCTCTCTCCCCCTACCAGCTCGGAGCTATTTAAAGGGATCTGAAACCGCACTGGTCTGGAGTCTTTCTAATCCTGTCCCGATAGCAACGTCAAAATCCGGACCTGAAACTCTTGTCTCTCGGTGGTCGCTGTAAGGTAGGACCGGCTCACGCAAAGCACCCTGATGTTTAGAGTTCAAATAAACGCTTCCTATTTACACTCGGCAAACAGGAAGAGTGCGGCGAGCAAGTGTTTGGTGACAACATGGAAAGCAGGAAGCCTATAGGCCGAGTAGGCCTTTTGCTTGAAACAAAAGGTGTTTCTTGCAGCGCACTCCTGCGGGGTGAAACTGTTTGTCCTGCACATTCTTTCCTAAAGGTTGCCTCACCGTGAAGGAGAACGTTTACCCAACAGCAACTTCACCCATTTTGCACATGAGATCATTTGGCCTGGAGGCTGGGTTCCAGATGTCTTGAATTAACCCCGCCGCATATGGCTTCAATATTGGACGCACAGAGCCGCTGTTGTGAGGAGTCGAGCTTAAGCTGCGGCTGCCGACCGACAGCTCCGCGGACGGCGCGGCAAATAAAAGTGTGTGTTGCCGGCGTGCAGCGACGGGGCGGGCTGACGACAGATGGTCGGTCTGCTGCTGGTGCAGGCAAGCAGCTCTGGGTCCCAGGCTCAGCAGTCGCTTGCGAGTCTTTGTCTCAAAAGTGCCGCAAAACTGTACACGCAGTTTCGCGAGTAGAAATGGCCACGGGTTCAGCGCAGAGCCACCTTCTTTGTGACCTGGGACAGCTGGACGTCGAAGTGAACTGCCCGTCGTCTCGAAAGTCCTGCAGCCGTGATTTCGATCCGCGGACGCCGTGTTTTAAAAAAAAAAGAAAAAGGCCGACTCAAAATGCTGGTTTCTGGATCAGCAAGTTGTAGGTTGAGTGTGGGTAACATCGCAATCGCAAAGGATTCTTTGAGTGTGATATTTGGGTTGGTGCTACATTTTAAGTGTCATGCATTCATTTCCCCGCACATCTATGATGTATTTGACCAGTCGGATGGATGCCAGATGTCCCTGAGCTCCACATTGTATGTTTAGGGAAAGCAGCTCAAATGCTACAGGTCATAGGGGGAAGTGGGGACGTTATGTAAAGATAAAGAAAGAAAATTGTCCAGAGGACGTAGATCAATTGCAATCTAAATTGTAATTGCAGTTTTCAGCTCAGGAGAAGCATCTGCACAACACGACTTTGTCACCACGCAAAGTTCGAACGTCTCGCAGGACACCGTCCAGTCCAGTGTTTCTCAGCCCTGGTCCTCACCGCCCCCCTGTCCTGAATGTTTTAGGCATTTCTCTTCTGCCACACACCTGAATTGTATCTCTGGGTGATTAACAGGCTTCTGCAACACTTGATGGTCATGCAGTCATTTGAATCAGCTGTTCTGGAACATGCAGTGAGGACCAGGGTTGAGAAACACTGGTCCAGACCGTTATTGTAAATATGCGGAAATGGTACGGCACACCTGCAAACCTACAAAGACATGGCTGTCCGCCTCAACCAACATGCAAAAATACTAATACTGCATGTCACTGTTCCCACTGTGGCGGCAGCATCATCCCCCATCGAGCAAGAATGAAGAATCTGACCTGAGAATGTTATTAACCTGGTTACCAAGTTACCAAAAAGGTAACTGGACCCAAAACGTCAAGCCAGGGAGACGATGGAATAATGTGTTAGAACGGTTCAATCAAAGTCCCGACCTAAATCCAACTGACTGCAATACGATTTAAAAACTTCATAATCCTATCTGAAGTCAGCTTGAGTTGCTAAGTGAAGAGGACTGGACAAAGGGAGAGCCTCCAGATAGATTTCTCGGTGGAGACATACGCCTCAAGTCTTGAGTGAGATTGGCTGAATGCAAGTGCATTTAACACTTATTAGTTTTATGCATGAAAATGTTGAATATTGTGCAATATTCCACTTCATATACGCGCTACTTGTGCATAAAATTGTGCAAAAGTTCTACAGCTTGCTAACAGCCTTTTTTGTTTTTTTTGGAAGTGCATTTGCGGCCTTTTGTTACTACACGCAAAATAAGCTCTGCATGCAAATATTGACTCGTTGTGTTTTCTCCGTCTTTCTGAATGTACATCTAAATCGAGCAATCGACCTCAAAAAAAAAAAAAAAAAAGCCCGAAGCAACGGGCAAGAAGAAGCGTCTGGTCTTTAGTTGCTCCGGCAACGGGTCGGGCTATTGCTTGCTTAATTTCATTCAGCGCTCACAGAAAGGTTAACACAGTGCAGCAGCTGCATCAGTCAGTCGCACCACAAGCAAACCTGTGGAGCAAAAACATGTAGTACAACTGAACGCGCCGCGAGGGAAGTGGTGAAACGTTCTTCATGTGTGTGTTATAAATAGCCACGGGGGAGCATCTGCATACAGAGGTGCAGCCTTATCACCACATCAGCAATGTGATTCTCAGCACAAGACTTCCTCATGGAAAAAACAAAACAAAACAAAACAAAACTGTTTCATTTAAACACCGAGTCCAGTAAAGTGCAAAAACAGGGGGAAATTAAACCGAAACAACAGCCAGTTTTAACACCTGACTGCGTATGTGTGTGTGTGTGTGTGTGTGTGTGTGTGTGTGTGTGTGTGTGTGTGTCTGTTTTAGTGGTTTCTAGGCAGCTACAGTGCTCACTGTGTCACAGGAAATGGGTACACTTAAAGCAGTTTGCGAGACAGGAAGTACAGATCCGCAGAATTAGCAGCTGATTAAAAAGTAGTGAAACCGAACGGCCTGGATGAACCCAAACATAGGGTGTCTCCCGCAGCATCTGCATTTTCCTCCTTTGCCCTTAAAGTGAGGTTGCCATGGAGCGCGTCTTGCTTTTTTGTTGTTGTTGGTTTTTGTTTTTGTTTTTTCTGAATGGCCACCGGCTGTGTGGTGACTGCTGGGCGCCACTGATTAGGGAAAGCCCGAGTTCACAAGCAGCGCTGCTGTTGCTCGCGGACGATACGACCGCTGCACAGATACGGAGCAGCGGAAAATACAGCATGAGAGAGAGAGAGAGACGCAAGAACAAAAAGCCCCATTGGTGTGCGTCGGTCACAGCAACACATGATGAGACTTTAAGCTTAAAAGTTCTGTGTCTTTTAAATGTGCGTGACGGGCCCTGTGGAGATGTTTTCTGAGTGATTCTCTCTCTCTCTCTCTCTCTCTCTCTCTCTCTCTCTCTCTCTCTCTCTCTCTCTCTCGTGTGTGTGTGCGTGTATTTTTGTTTGCAGACTGTCTCTTGCGCTCACGTGGGAAGTGGAGGGACCGCTACACACCGACCAAGACTGGTAACCGCGAAACATTTGTTCTTGTTTCAGCTGTCACAAAAGTACATGCAAGGCAAAAAAAAAAAAAAAATGTTTTCATTGCAGTAAAAATATGTGTCAAACGTTATTAAGTAAATGTTGCTTTCAAGGCAGTTACATAATCTTGCATTAAAAAAAAAAAAAACTTTATTATGTTTATTTAGTGAGAAAACATGAGAATTAGAAACTAATTGTTTTTTAGGAGTCACTGGTGATAAAATTCTTGACTCCCCAGCTGTTGATACTTTGTCCGTTCTCCTTCTGCCAACATGACAACATTTAGTTTTCCACTGTAAACACAAGGTCAGAGTTTACACAGAGACATAATTAACCATTCCTCTCTCAACAATGTGTCCAGATCATCCAGATAATGTTTGCAGCTTAACCCTCAGGGTTTTTTTTTTTTTTTGTAGGATAAAGGCCTGGAAACTAAGCTAGCCATAGAAGAAGGATATTTGTTATTTAAAATGTCCTCGTATTTCAAAACATTTGTGACTCTATATGGTGCAATAAGGTTCCCATGACCTTTAGGAAAAGAAACAAGGCCTCGGTATCACAGATCCGTCACCGTACTGAATAGGAGGAATAAGGTGCTTTCGCCTGAATTTGTTGCGTTTCAAACAAGACCCAGCTGTAAAAGTAAAAGTTCAGTCTTCCACACTTTTCCAGCAGAGTTTTATAAACCTTACACAGGACAGAAGAGGCCCCAGTTTCTTTTTTGTTTGTTTTTTTAACTTAGCATCACTCCCAAATAACAAGTTAGCACACAGACTTCATCTAATGAGTAAAATGGAGATTTGTCGACCTCCAAGATGCCGCTCTTTGCTGCAGCTTTGAAGATTTTCATTTACTTCCTTTACCGCCCTGGTCACTGTGTGTTCTGCTGAGGTAAACACGGTTCCTTGTTCAGCCTGGCGGTTAACAGAAATGTTATATTTACACCCCTGGGAAACAACATAAATGTTACTGCAGTACTATCTCACAGTGAACATTTTGCTGCACTTCTCTAGCAGCAAAGTTTAGAGCTTTTATGTCTTTTTGTCCTTTTTTTTTTTTTTTTTTTTTTTTTACAGCCCCAGTTTTTTTAAAAAACTTGAAAAAAAGGGGGGTT